CGGAGAGAGGATGAGTGCAAGGAGATTGTAAGCGGGGTGGGTGGGGGAGACAGAAAACAGCTAGAAAGCTTCAGGGCACGTTTTATTTGGGCTTGGCTAATTAGAGAGCGCTTTGCTGATTTTTAATAAATTCGCCTTAAAAACCATCTTGACCTTGGCCGCTTGTTCACAATAGGGGAGGGGGGGAAGCGTCCGGAAACGCCCACCTCATTTTCGGCTCTTGTCACCGCGGACCCTGACAATGACGCCGCCGCCGGAGCTGTGGGCGACGAAATTACCCCCAGAGCCAACCTTGCTAGTCGCGCCTCCCCCCCCCCTCCGCCCCAGTCCCGCTCGCTGCGCTAATTAGGGCCTCGGAATAAATCATGACAATCATTCCCAACCCCACGAACCCCCTCCGGAGGGAGCTACGCCTGGTCGGTATTGCCCTTGACAGTAGAATCCCCCCCCCAACTTTCCAAGAAGTCCTCTTGTGGCGAACGCGGAACTCCAGCGCTGGCGAAGGAAATTTACACAAGAGGAACTGACGAGCCAGTCCCAGGGAAAGGGCACTATCCGGCGGACGTTGAGCGGTTTGACACTTCCCAACGATTTTAGCGGGGGAGACACTAGCGTGCGTTTCTGCCTCCCATTGCAAGGGCTGGGTTTCCAAACACTCAGTGCCGGCAGGATCGTGCCCATATAGATCTGCATGTATCTGAACTCCCTGATTTTAAATAAAACAATTGAAGGACATTAGTAGCAGAAAACGGGAAATTTTCATCAGTAGCAGAACGCTGAATACCAAATCGATATGATTTTAAATTATTGGAATAATGCTAAAGATTTTTTTTTAAATCGAGCTCAAACAGATTAGTTTTGATTGGTTTGAAAACGAATAAGAAATCTGGATTTCTGCTGAGTTCGAACAGCCTATTCAATCAGAAGGAATTTAAAAAAAACAAAAACACAAAACTTAGTAGCAGTAGTGGTAGCAATCTAAAGACAGGAAAATATTTTGAGGCAGGTTTTCTGAAAAGCTGTATCTATGGCCAAAGTAATTTGAAAACGGTGTTGTATCTTTTATAAAGGTGTCCAGTGGTTGAAAAATCAGGATGTTAAACCTGTCTTTAGAAGGTATTCCTCCACCAAATTTCTCCCATGAAAGAAAACACAGTGGCAACATATTCTGGAACCAAGTCTAGTGGGGAGGGGGGCCTAAGGTGAGCGATTCCCCCCCTCCAGCATAAAGGAAACATGTCTGTTCCACTGTGAATGTTCGAATCCCACCTTTAAAGAAAGACTGTTGAGCTGTACAAAAGCTTCCCTAGAAAAAAACCAACTATTGTTTCTCTCTCTTTGGCTCATTCTTGCTCTGCGGTGAAATCTGAACTTTTCACTTTGCTGATAAACAATTTTGATTGCTTCTCACTTAAATTATGAACAAGCTAAATAAACCTACTTCATTAGACGCCTTTGCTGGCTTCTAAAGCTAATTAAAAGAGGCTTTCCTTAGAAGAAAGGGTCTCGGCTCAATGTTTAAAAAGCTACAGATGCGCGCTCATTTACATGCACTCAAGCAGGGGAAAATCCTGCAAGTTTGTTCTTTCTTTTCTCCTCCTCCTCCTCCCCTTTCCCAGTTAACAAGCTCTCTCGGAGTTAAATAATTACTAAAAGAAGTAGCAAAGGAATTGAGTGAGGATGGTCTGCGTTAAAGGATTCTACTTCCCCTTACTTAGGTCCGGAAGCAATACATTTCTGGTTCCCCGATATATAAAATATCTCTGTACTTCCTGCCGATTCCGTGCCCAGCTAACCAGCGCACTGTGTCTCTCTCAGTCATCGAGTGAAACTCTTCCTTTACTTTCCACCCAATTCAAGACCCCTCTTCCCAGCTGACTTGAGGGTACGCCCTGGCTTTTTCATGGTCACTGTCAGAGATTCAAAGGAACTCTTTTAACTCTCTGAGTGTCAAAGAAATCACTGAAGTTGTGTGTTGTTGTTTAATCAACAATTGCTTTGTTTTTTAAAATCAGCTGGGTTTACAGATGGAGCTCCAGTCTCCTTTTCGAGGAAGGCCGGAGTTAGCAAATCCGAAAATCTGGCAGGAGAAAGTTGCAGCGGGAGCGATCGTCTGTGTCCGGCCGGGCTCAGCTTCTCCTTGGTTCCTGAACCTGCCTCCTTTCCTGCCTCTAAAAGATCTAGTCTGCTGCTTGCCTGTAGCATGTGAGTGCAGAAGGTCAGATGCTTGCTTGGTAAGGCAAAGGTACGGGAGCCCTGGCCGAAGGAGGACTAGATCCCCCCCCCAAGGAACATGCGGACAGAGAGGGTCAAATGTGCGTCAAGACCCCCGTGGCTGGGCTCTGCAGCTGTCGGTCAGCAACACTTCTGATCCGGTGTGAAGTCGTTAGGAGGCTAGATTTCCTTTCCCACCCGACATCCTTTCTGCCGAGAGATCTCCTGACAAACCGGAGCACGTATTCTGAAGCACCAGTGGGATCATAACCACGTGTGTGTGTGTATGGGGGGCAATCCTGGACAATTCTTCCAGGGAAATGCTTACCTGGAAGTGAATCTCATAGAATTAAACGGGACTTTCTTCCAAGTCGATGTGCATAGGCTCTGACTGGCCGGGGGGGGGGGGGGCAGGAACACTAAGGCGACGGGATGGCCACTAGTGCCTAAGTCTCTTCTAACCAAGCTCACACAATGAGGACGGTCACGGACCGGCGTGAGGGGAAGGGAGCGCCGCCCACACGCTCTGGCTTTTTGAGAAGCCTAGAATAGGCGCAGGCAGCGGACCAGGGGATCCGCATGGATGCCAGAAAACGACCACTTCCTCCCCGAATGTTGTCCTGGCGCGGCTGGAGGACTGCAGAGTTCCTTCGTGGCTCTGCCAGACCACCCCCCAGAGTGCCGGGCGCCTCGGCTCTGGAAGGCTGTCGGGTTTCCACGCGGCTCGCGAGGCGTCTGAAATAATCCCCGGCCTTCCCTCCCTCCACGCTGCCTCTACAGATCTCATCGCTGGGTTTTCCTCTGACAACCGGGCTGAGGGATGTGGCCGGCCGGGCGCACAGGCGGGGAAACCTCTGCAGCACCACAGACAGCTCCCCGGGCCGGGCTGCTCAGCCTCGGCGACGGAGGCCGCCTCTTCTGGGCAGTTCGAAGTCTTCTTTCTGCCCTTCGGCCGCCTGTTCGCAAAGTGCCGCCTCATAGCACCGGCTGGCGAGAAGCTGAGTCCCAAACAGG